CCATCTAATATTCAAAATTAAAAAGCATGAATTCAAGGTAAATTAATGTCACAACTGAACAATTCCGTTAACAAAAAGACCAATTTAGTAATAGAAAAATAAGGCTTAAAGACAATTTGGTACGTAATTTTTGAGGTTTAAGGACCAACTTGGTCCAAAACTCAAAGTTAAGATACCAAAATGGTGATTTAACCCTCTCGTTTTTCCTCTTCCTTATCATCTTTTCTGTTGTACAACCTGTACCACTGCTTCTATTATTCCCCGTAGTCCCTCCTATTTTAATTTCCATCCCTACTTCTCTCTCCTGGAAAACGAGGTAACTGCCATCGGAGACTCTCCGGCAAACTTCTTCTGAAAAGACCTTTACTTAACGAAATTTCTCTCTATTTCCTCAACGTTCAAAATTTCTCCCAGATTTTTCGTTCGATTCCTGAAGACTTCTGTTCTCCTCATCGCCGTTCCTCAACTCAACCGCAGAAGTCAAGGCCGGTCGTCGTAAACGAGCGCAAGGAACTGATCTCGACTTTAATTGAGGTCTGCTTTTCAAATTTCCTGGAGGAAAGAAAGCTTTTAGTCTCTTTTTAATCCGTTTTCTCGGTAACCAAACTTAAGACTTCTTTTCATTGAGTTTTAACTTTTAATTATGCATAAAGTTATGTTACTTTTCTTTTAGTTATAGATATTATAAAATTATGAAGACACGGTCAAAGGTTTAACTTCGATGGATGATCTTCATGACATCATCATTTCTAGTTTAAGTTTTCAAAATGAAGACAAAAAAATAAAAAAAAGGCCCAAACGAAAAGCAGGTTCTAAATTCCTGTTTAACAACTAAAATGATACGTTTTTAATATCACTGAATAATTTATAACATGATATATTTATTGATTTTTTTTACTCAGTTGACTGATTTAATGATATATTATAATTATTTGCGTACAATCCGAGTAAAAAGAACTGATTATGGAAAATTGAACTTTTGCAAGGCCTGATTGGTATATATAAGTGGTTGAAGCTATGAATATCAGGGGAAATAAATTTGTGAGGTTAGCCTCTCTAAGCATTAATTTTAAGTTCTATTTAATTGCGCTCAAGTTTGAATACTAAACCTTTTTTTTTTTTTTTGGCTTCATTTTGCATATGGCAACTTCTAATCATCGCCTCAGATAAATCTTTAACTGGGCATTATGCTGATGTAGTTTTTCCGAGGAAAGTTAGAAACTCACTGGCTTCTGTCGTGGAAAGTGTACGGGAGGGTTGAGATGGGTTCCAAAAGGATCAAAAGCAACTTACACTCTGCCCGTAACAAGTCAGAAAAAATAATTCTTGATCCACGGGGATCTTTCCTTCAAAACTGGAACAAAATATTTCTCCTATTCTGTATAATTGCTGTGGCACTGGACCCTCTTTTCTTCTACATCCCAGTGGTTGTGAACGACGAAACCCGAAAATGCCTCAACCTGGATAAAAGACTGGGGATCATTGCCTGTGTCCTTCGTACATTCATGGATGCCTTTCATATAATTCACATGATCTTTCAATTCCGAACCGGCTTCATTGCCGCTTCTTCTAGAATCTTTGGTACGGGTGAGTTGATTGTTAATCCTCGGACTATTGCAAAGAGGTACTTGTTCACATACTTCATCATCGACGTCCTGGCAATTCTTCCACTTCCACAGGTTTGTTGCTTCTCTGTAGTAAGTCCCAATTAAGTTCTTCAATATATCATCAAAGAAAAGATTGCAACTTAACAATTCCTGTTACTTTGTGTTTTCTCTCAGCTTGTAATTTTGCTTGTCCCTTCATTGAAAGACCAGCCCGTTGCATTTGTAACGAAAGAGTCATTAAAATACATTATCATCTGTCAATATGTGCCGAGAATTGTTCGAATTGTTCCTCTTTATATAGAAGTTTCAAGAACTTCAAGCATTAATATTGTCCCTGAATCTGCTAGGGCTGGAGCTGCTTTGAATCTATTCCTGTACATGCTAGCCAGCCATGTAAGTGCCTTTTATTTTTTTTGGGATAGTTTGGATTTCCTTACACTTAAATAAACCTTTCCATTCCAGGTTCTAGGGGCCATCTGGTACTTGCTTTCAGTAGAAAGACAAGTCCGGTGTTGGGGTGATGTTGCTAGGAAACATAGGCGTGACCGACGTCTTTTGTACTGTAATGATGATAAAGATCCTAGACGAACCGACCATTCATCAAACCCTGATTTGCTACCTCTCCTGAATACTTACTGCCCTTTGATCAATCCTGATGATACAAATTCAACAGTCTTCAATTTTGGAATATTTATTGATGCACTCCAGTCAGGGAT